GGGGGGGGGGGGGAGGAGATTGAATACGGCGGGGGGGGTGACGATATGAAAACTGCGAGGACGCCAGGCGGGGGGAGTTCCTCGACCGACGAATGATTTTACGTGCTGCATAACAAATTAGCCCAGCCTTGACGTATCGAAAGGATACATAAACGGTGGTCCCGAGGTGGAATTTCTCGACTGAACGCTGTGGTTTACAAACTGATGGATCATGAGTGCAAAACGAGGCATTGCGGTTGTGCCAAGTGGGCACCCTCATTGCACGAAATAAGGACGAAGTACAGGGCAGAGATGTTACCATGAACGCGCACCGCTGAGGATAACCGCGCTTTGCGTCCAAGCACGTCTCCAAACACATGGTAAACTGTGCAACTTCGTCAAAAACACCCGTCTCTTTAGACCACAAACCCAAAACCTGCTGTGCACATCAAACGACATGAGTGACTGGAGGGACAAGACTTCAAAACACTGCCTCTGCAGTAGACTTACCTTCCCCAAGAGAACGGATTCCACTGATAAGGCTTCCTGCACCAATTTCCCAGCCGTCTCTGTCGAAATAGCTGCATTTCGTGACAGGCAGTCACAAGGCAGAGCGAAACAAGCGAAAAAGAGCGCACTGCCTCTTATGCCACGCTTTTGTACGTCGCGAACGAAGGCTGTAGTTTGCAGTGATAATCAAGCGTGCCGATGCAACTGTAGTGAGCTCAGCGGGGAAGGCAGAGACGCAAACAATAATTATATACCGACACCTGGACAGGTTGAGGACGTCGGTCAACGGCAATTGGCCTGAGTTCCCGGCTCTCGTCCCGAAAGCCGCAAAATCACCGACTTGAACACTAGGCACTTGAACGTGGACAGCCTCCACACAACTACTACAGTCTCCGGGACACCGCTTGAAATTGCCACGACCAAGACATGGTCGATCGCTTCGAGCCTCAAACGTAACACCCCCAAACACTCCATTAAAAACGAACTCCGCCAGAGAGCACGCAGACCCTGACAGTAAAAAAAAATGTCAACCTAGGAAACACGCCCGGCCACACCCACCAGTGCTCAATCACTGCCCCGCCTGCGACCACCCCGGCCCCGTGTAGGCTGCTGTTCACCACCACCGCTGGGGGGTCGTTCTCAACCGAGCAGGCAGCGCCCACCACGCTGGACGCCCTGCAGCCACAACAAGTACGGGGAGGAAGACGAGCGAAGCCCCTTTTCTGTTTAGGTCTTGTAAATTTGATGTGGAGGCGACGTCTTTTCAGAAGGAAGCCAGTGGCGGGCACCTGAAAACCAACCATTCGTTGCCCAGCAGAGGTGGCTTCCACGATCAGAGAAACGCGTCGAGGAGCGCTGCCAGCAAGTGTTCGCGGGACATGCCACCACCGTCACCAAAGGGCACTGCCAACAAGTGTAACGTGCGACATGCCATCACCGTCATCAAAGTCCAAGCAGCTGAATAATGATTTTCGAAGAATGTGGGTAGCCCACCAAAAGAGTAAGGCACTCTCTCGGTGTTACGACCAGCGCTCCATGGACGAAATGTACCGGCAGAGCTCCCACAACTGGGGACGACACCCACAGCCCGAATCCTATAGTGCTTGCATCACGGCCTCGCTGGCTGTTGTTGGCGAAACTCGAGCACGCACGAGAGAACGAATCCTTCTTCGTTGTTTGCGGGCAGTACCGTTTGTGTCCAATGGTGAGCACCTTCGGCGTCGACAAACTTGTCCGTGTTGGGTGTTTTGCAAGATCGTCTGCCATCCACTTTAACCACCACCATCCGTGAATGGCGAGCCCGGAGTCCGCGGTACAACCGGAAACCGTGGCGTGTACACATGGGCAGCCAAGGATGGTGCACGTGAAACGCGCCGAGGCGTCGACATCGGCCTCACCGCCCGCAAAGCGACCAAAACATGTCACCAACAGCACGGCACGGTCGCACCCGCGCAAGCCACGACGGCTTCGGTACGCATCAAAACGACCCTACTGTACCTGGCAGTCAAACCGTATGGCTCGATGAACTCCGGCAGCCGGAGCGTCAACATCTCCATCAGCTCTGGGGTAGTGCCCAGGTGCACGAACTTTGCCCCTTGGAGAAGCAGGGCGCCCAGAGGGAACCCGCTCAGGGCGTCCCAGATCTCCCGCCTAGCCTTGGAGACGTCATGGTCGGGAGGGAGGACGGGGCCGCACGCTTCGAGATAGGCGTCGAGCATCCCTGATGGTTGAGTATCAACACGCGGGGGTTGTGCCGGAGGCGTTGCAGTCTTGCATGTTTGGCATCATCAACAGCGGGACAACATAAATGGAAGGAGGGCAGGCCCAAAAGAAAATGACTTCCGTGACAAACCGTGAGAATTTCTAGGAGTAGACGTGTTCGACAGCCCCTGCAACAACGTCTCAGGAGCTCCTTCAGAGCATACGACATAATTGGGGTGAATCTCCATCAACCCTGCTGGGCCTGAAAAAATGCAGCTATGATAGGTCTTTTCCACTGATCCCTTGCGAACGCCGATAACCACGCCTTGTCGGAACAACTCCTCAACCAATCAGCTACTGGGTTCGCAAAGGTTGTTTAAGGATATTGACTGAATAACGTGGCCTGAGCGGCACGGACACACGCGCCAGCGGTAAGCACCTTCGGCGCTCTCTCCGGTAGCTCCTCCCGTCCTCAGCGCCAGCAAGATGTCCGAATACAGCTCCAACCTCAGCGCGGAAGCCCCCCCGGCCACACCCCGCGAGGTGCACCCCTTGAACGTCTCCGAGAGTGCAAGGCTCGTCAGAGCCCACGTGGCCGCTCCCGAAAACACCACGACGCCCGAGTCGATGGCGACCTCCGGGTTAGCATTGGGATCGTGGTTGGGGTTTCCAGACTCATTATTGGGCGTCACCATGCTGCCGGGGTTGATGAAGGCTCCGGACGTCTCCGCCTCCTCGCGGGAAGGTTTCTGGAGGTACCTGGTGGGTGGGGAATCGTCGTTGGCGGTGGTGCGCGGTACGGAAGCAGAGTTGCTGTGAAGGGAATCGCGGTACTGTCTTCGCTGCGGACGCGGCGAATAGGTTGCGGGTTAGGCTAGGGTTCGTCCTCATGTAGGCTGACGATGTGTGCACGTTTAAAACCTTGGACCACCGTGCTGGTCCAACTGAAGCGGGCACCTTCGGTGGCCAGCCAACCTACAGCGTACCCAAATAGGCTGCCCGAACGAACGTAGAATCCAGAGAAAACAAAATGCACGAGAGAATCAACAACGCGCGTCAGCACAGAAGACAGGCAACTACCCATATCCCGTGAATCAATGAAGGGGCACGTCGCGCTCCAGTCTATACAATTGTACATAGCGACCCAACAGATTTACAGCAGAAGGGAAATTATGCCCGGCCGGGGGAGCTTGACGTTCGAAACAGCAACCGTGCGAGCACATGTACAAGATCACAGCAGCACGCCGGAAGCAATGCTGGCACCCGGCTGACAATACTATCAACAAAAAGGAGAGCTCACTTTCTGACCCCCTTGATGCCGTGGCTCTTCTGGCCCCCACCGCCGCCACCCCCGTCCAGGCAGTACACGCCGTGGTGGGAGGCGTACTTCGCCGCATCCGCAGCAATCGCCAAACCGGCCACGCCCCCGGCGGCGCCGCTCTGATTGTCGAATGACCAGTCGGCCGTGGCCGCCACCTCGGGAGGAATTAGCAGCATGACGTCACACGCGGTAACGACCAGCGTTCCGGGTTCCAAACTCCCGGACGAACCTCCGGAGAACAGGCGGCTCAGGTGCTCGAGCAGCAGGTCCATCGGGGTGTTGCACCTGCCGCTGCCGCTGTCTCCGCAGCTGTTGAGGGCGGACCACGCCTTGCCACAGACGCATTGCGTTGGGGACCTCTGGCTGTCGCCACCGCTGTGCACGAGGAGGACGCGCGCGGCGGCCAAGCCCTGGGGGTCTTGGCTATCGTTGGACAGCTGCGCCGCCCGGAGAGCTTGATCGATCTGCCATGTGTGTGTGTACGTTGTTTGTTGTCGTCCCATCAATTGTGGACGCCGGTTTTGCCGGGGGGGGGGGTCTTTCGGTTTGTTTGGACGCACCAGCTGGGTTCAAACAGGATTTGTGATGATGGGTTGAGAATGCACACCCCTGGTTACAAAAAAACTGGTATTGGCGCTTGCTTGGAAACTCTGCAGGCGTGTTTCGGTTTTTGATGAAAACCGGTTCTCATTTCGGTATTTCGTTTTCGGAAAAACGCCTCTGGCCCGGTTATCGTTTTTTTTGGGGGAACCGACACAACAGGGTATCCCCTGGTCGCAAAGCGACACACCTGGGTACAGTCAATAACAGCAGTAAATACACTCATACCATTGGTCAACGCCCAATTTCACCCCGGTGCGTCCGAAAAGGCGCAGGGTACACCCTGCCGTGACTTCTTTTCTCAACAACTGTACCCTGTTTTCGGAAATGTACCCTGACTTGTCGGGAAAAGAGACCCTTTGATTAATCATTTCCCCCGCAGGAATCTTCCCAACTCATTTTCCCCTCCAACCCTGGGATACCAAACGGCGAATCTTCCCGCCCAATAACAACCATGGCAAAATCAGTTTCCGCCCCTGCGAAACAACACCAACAATCAACTCTTCCGCTCTAAGTCAACAATGGCCGGGCAATACCCCAGCACAATTGCCCCGTTTGGAAACATGTTCTCCCTTCTTCCCCTCGCTCCTCGACAAGCTTTTGCTTAGACATGGGTTGTAGTGAAGGGGGGGGTCTTTCTGGCGAGCAGGGCTAGACTCACCCTCAAGGGATGACCGAAACCTTCTTGCTGCTGCGCATATCCGCCGCGAGGCATGCGCGTGGTGGTGTAGTTGGGTCGGCACTGATGGGGTCAGGCGAAAAAATGTAGATGCGCGGGCCTCTGGCCGTCGGCGTAGGCAGCGATG